GTGTCTGCTTCTTTGTTGTGAGGTTTTATCACTTTACAGAGAAGCCTTTTGAGCAATAAAAGAAAAACTAAAAATTCAATGTTCGGTGCTGTATGCATTTCTAAAATATGGAACATTAAAGAAGCAATTTGTAAGATTTTCATGTCAAGTCATCATTAAATGGCCCTAATCTGTCAAAAGGCATTAATAAACCATGCTGTTTTCAAAAACTTCTTTAACTGATAACAGTAGTTCAGAGATATTTGAATTTAAAATTTGTTTTACAGACCCTAAATCTTGTTATTGTTTTCATTTCGATGTCCCGTCCTCCACCGTTTACCCAATCAGAAAGTCCGTGATCCGGGCGCCAGATTTCACCGTGTCGAACTAAACTAAGAATTTATTTCGGGCCTCTGTGAAAAAGTTGTTGGTTAAAGATTTGTTGTTGACAAATCGCTTGTCTATTCAAATATTATGGTCCCAGCTGGATTTGTCTGCATATCTGGCAACCTGAGTCAGGGAGAGTGGGAGAGGCTACAGTACCACTTTTGGCCACATTTTTACAGACTGAAACTCACAGATGGCAGAGCCTGAGGCGAATTCTGCAAAGTTTGATCTTCTTTGTCGGCAAGACTTTTAAACTTGGTCAGCAAATCCACAATAAATACATTAGCGCTTTTTTCTATCTAAAACTAAGGAACCACTTTGCTTGGCACTTGAATCCATGAAAACATCCCATCATTTCCCTTCAGATACGTACACAACCATTTCAGCCTCTTTTGGTCTTCCCTCGGTCTGCTGTGGGGCTAAAGGTTCCTGGTCTATCATGCAGTGCCAATGTAAACAGAGCAATTCCTCCCCAATTAGAAACGCTAAATGCATTGGACTCGGTGCTGGACTAGCGCTGGTATGTGCAATTAATGGCGCGTTGGTCTTCTCCGGATGACTGGGATGGCTGAGGTGGTTAGGTTTCAGTTCAAGGGCGCGCTGGGGGAGTCTGATTGGGCAGGTTGGACTCATCATGGAAGTATAAACAAGAGGTTGGACGTTGCATTGGCGGTTTGGGGGCTTGCCGGGTCAGTTGTGGAGAGAGAGCGTAGAGCCAGGGAGATAGGAAAGTAAAGCAGAGTTCAATAAGGAGGAGACGGAAAGTGATATTGTATAGTAAAGGATGTAAATCTTAGCACATGTGAGTAAAAAAATAAAAATCAGCCGTTCAAGTAGAAAATGGTCATTACATCATCTCTCCGCATATCTTTTTGTAACATAAGGATAATGATAATATCCTAATATTGTAGGTGCAGAATAACTGACTATTTCCGACATGTTTATTTCGGGTTTTTTTTTTTTTTTAAATAGTCTCTCCATGACCTCGCACCAAAATACATTAGTGACATGTTAGTCCCATAAGAACTGGCCCGGACACTGAGGAGCACAGGGACTGGACTCCTGCTGGGACTCTGAGGAGCACAGAGATGGGACTCCTGCTGGGACTCTGAGAAGCACAGGGACGGGACTCCTGTTAGTGCCCAGAGTCAGAACTAAACATGGGGAGGCTGCATTTCAGATTCATGCTGCTAAAATCTGGAACAGTCTTCCTGAAGATGTGAGACAGGCCTCCTCTCTGACAATGTTTAAAACCAGGTTAAAAACAGTTCTGTTTAGCTGTGCATACAACTGAGGGATTTTATATTTTTATCCTTCTTTTTAATGTTCTGTGATTATTTATGATTTTAATGCTATTCTATTTTGTTCAGCACTTTGAGTTGTCTTGTGTATGAATTGTCCTATACAATTAAACTTGCCTTGCCTTGACAACATAAAAACCTGCGGCTTGTATTTTATGCGGCCTAGATGTGTGAGAAATGATGCTGTTTTAAATTTCTTAAATATTACTGTACATATTTTCACATAATAACTTACGGTTTCCACTGAATACACAAACAGAAAAGCTCTAAACAATGTCTCCTTATTTCATCTTGTTTACACTTGCCTGAACAGGAGTTTCCAAGGCCACACTTTTGGAGACTTTCCCAACACCACACATCAGCGCAGTCTCTTTGTCTATTGTCCGGTGAACACAGAGCTTTGTGTTTTTGTCAGGTGTTTTTGACTGCGGCCTGAACCTCTGCACTTTTACTGATAGTTTGCTAACAGAGCTTTCACTCCATTGCCTCTAATGAAAATCCATACTAAACATTTAGCTGTGTGTGAGAATGGGGGAAATTCAATAAGACACATAACATGATTTATAAATTACAGGAAGAACAAATCGAAAGCGATCTTGTGTTTACATTTATTTTTCCTTTTCTCTTCAAAAAAAGAGATGGTGTTAGAAGCGAAATCATTTAAACACACTCACATCTTTTTCCCTTTTTGTTTGTCGTTTCTACTTTGTTTCAAACACATTGTTGGTCATGCCGCCAAACATGTCTCCACTGATGTATTCCCCAAACTAATGGTCACTCAAGTGCTCCAATGTCGATAGTAAACTAATAGAAGACTACAGGGCACAGGGATGTGATGTGATTAGCACTCCTCTAACTATCTTCCAAGGAAACTTTCATCGTTAAACCACTTGGACACATGCCTAAAAGCCAGACTAATGTCACTTACTAGTACTGGTCTTAGAGCGTGATGGAGATGATGTAAAAGTGGGAGCTAAAGTGAGGAGTGCAGTCATTTGTGTGGAGCAGGTGGGACAAAAACATGAGGCAGTCTTGAGGAATTATACATTATTATTAGAGATAGTGTGGAAAAACTGTTTGCATGTTGAAATAATAAATAATAAATATTCATTAATTCATATGGCACCCTTCACACACTGAGAGTCATAAATCCACTTACATTTGTTGTAGACATTTTCTCCAGAGTGATATGGGTCGCATGTTTTTAGCGGTATCAGGAATCGGGAGTACCCGGAAGAAACCTATGCAGACACAGGAGAACATGCAAACTCCACAGAGGTGGAATTGAACCCTGGATAGTCTTGTTGTGACACATGAGTGCTTAGAATTATAGGGGTACATACATATACATTTCAAACATGTCAAATAAGAAATAAGAAGTTATTTAAGGCCCTTAATTATACATTAATTCTTAAAATCATGTTAATTGTGAGTAGGCAAGGCAAGGCAAGGCAAGTTTATTTGTATAGCACAATTCATACACAAGGCAATTCAAAGTGCTGAACAAAACAAGAAAGCATTAAAATCATAAATAATCGCAGTATATGTATATAAAATCCCTCAGTTGTATGCACAGCTAAACAGAACCGTCTTTAACCTGGTTTTAAACATTGTCAGAGAGGAGGCCTGTCTCACATCTTCAGGAAGACTGTTCCAGATTTTAGCAGCATGAATCTGAAAAGCAGCCTCTCCATGTTTAGTTCTGACTCTGGGCACTAACAGGAGTCCAGTCCCTGTGCTCCTCAGAGTCCGGGCTGGTTCATATGGGACTAACATGTCACTAATATATTTTGGTGCGAGGCCATGGAGAGACTTGTACACAAGCAGAGCTGTTTTAAAGTCTATTCTCTGAGCCACAGGAAGCCAGTGCAGAGACCTGAGGACCGGACTAATGTGGTCGTACTTCCTGGTTCTAGTCAGGACTCGAGCTGCTGCATTTTGAATGTACTGCAGCTGTTTTAGAGCCTGTTTGGACAGACCTGTGAGCAGGCCATTGCAGTAGTCTAACCTACTGGAGACAAATGCATGGATAAGAATCTCCAAGTCTGCTTTAGACACTATGTTTTTGATCCTGGCAATGTTTTTTAGATGGTGAAAAGCTGCTGATGTTACTGATTTGATGTGGCTATTAAAATTTAAGTCTGAGTCCAGTATTACCCCTAGATTTCTGACCTTGTTTGAAGGTTTTAGGGAGAGAGACTGTAGGTGACAGATGACGCTCTCTCTTTGTTTCTGGGGACCAAAGACAATCATTTCAGTTTTGTCTGCGTTTAGCTGAAGGAAGTTGTTTTGCATCCACTCACTGATCTGTTGGATACAGTGAAGAAGTGAGTCCACTGGTCCATGTTCTCCTGCAGTCAGTGAGACATAGATCTGAGTGTCGTCTGCATAGTTATGATAGGACACTTCGTTTCTGCGTAATTACTGACCTAACGGCAGCATGTAGAGATTGAACAGAAGAGGTCCCAGGATCAACCCCTGTGGGACTCCACAGGTCAGGGCCATATGATCTGAGACACAGTAGATAATATTTAGACCAATGTTTTTTTGTTTTTCTTTTTTAGACTTTTAGACTCTATGTTTAGTTTAGTTCTATTTGTTTTGAACTCACCACCTGCAGAGGGTCAGTGAGGGGCTGGTGCTATGAGACTTGGGTGGCATCTCTGATTGCCACCCCCCTGACCCAGAAATGGATTAAAGGGTAGAAAATGGATGGATGGATGTTTTGAACACTATAGTGAAAGTGTATAAACACTTGACACAGTCAAGTTTCAATTTACAACAAAAATTTTGCAACAGTATTGTTCAAGAAGGAGTGGGAAGAAGTTTAAAACGTATAAGTCCCCCCCCTTGCCAGCTACATAATATAGGTATTACTGCTGCCTTCAGTTAAGTGCATACACTACACACAAAAAGCTGCATAGTAACCATATAAACAACAAGATCATGAAAAATGTAAACATACTTTATATACAAGTCAGTTTTGTATATATATTTGAACTGTTTTATACTTACACATGTTTTTATGTTGTTGCAAACGTCATTCCATAGTCTTGCTCCACAATAGGAAATGCAAAATCTTTTCCAGTTTAGAATATTTTTAGCAACGTTTTTTCCAGCCACTGTTTTGGTTGATACAAAGCCTCCCCTTTGTGGTAGAAACAGAGAATCACGCATTTATTTAGACACTTCCCCTCTTCGCCGCGAGGTGGCAGTGTGTACAGTTACTGCGCTTCTTTCCGGGTTCGTGTTGTTTGTTTACATCTCTGACACTTCCGGGGGTCTCGCGCTGTTAGCTTTGTTTCTCAGGAATTAAACCAACAATTATCCACGATGGGATGTGACGGAGGAACAATCCCCAAACGACACGAGTTGGTTAAAGGACCAAAGAAAGTAGAGAAGGTTTGTGCTGTGTGTGTTTGGTGTAAAAGTGTATGTCGTCGAACGGAATCTGTGCTAAGTTAGCTATTAGCTTGCTAGGCTAAGTTAGCTTTCCAACATACCAACAGTACTGTGACATTTAATGAATACAATATAAAGTACGAAGGTATTCAAACCCCTTGCAGTCAATTTGAGCAGGTGAATTTTTGTATAGCACAAAATCACGGAGGACTGTACAAAGTTGTCGATTCGTCAACAACAGGTCAGAGAATCAAACAATCAGACTGCAATAACAACGGCTGACTCTGTAGATGATCTAGAACACGTTTCTATCACTTTATCAAACGTTACTTATTCTATGATAAGATAAACTTTATTGATCTCACAATGGAAATGTACATGTCACATTTGGCAAAGACAGAGTCACTCGGGGCAAAAAGACAGAAAGTGCGCAGCATGTTTAAAAGGGAAAAAATATAGTCTCTTTTGTGAAAAATATGTTATGTACAATACAATAATAAAAAAGTGACTATAGCTCTGCGAGTTTTTCCGTCCGAGTGCAGGTCATTAAAGTGACTTGTAATACATTCTGACAGCAGTGAGGATTAGACCAATATTCTCTCATTTACACGAACTCACGAATGTAGAGAGTATAATATAATATTATTACAGTTAAATAATCAACTTAATTACAATTACCAGGAGTTTTCTTCTATCCTGTCTTTTTGTCATGTCTTTCTGTACCTTATTTTCATTTCAGCATCTTGCATGGATCTTGCATAATTGTTGTTTATTTCAGGTTGACAGAAATGCGGAACTTGTTGCAAAGTGGACATACTGTGCTCTGAGTCAAGAGAAGCTCAAGCGCCCGATTGTGACTTGTGAACTGGGAAGGTAAGATGTGTGGCTTTTCTACACAATAATAATAATAATACATTTTGTTCATAGTGGCTCCTTTCTAGGCACTCAAATGGTCTCGCCTTACAAAGGGTACACAGTTAAGCATAACGTTAAAATGAAGTGTAAAATGCTGGGTCATAGAGAATAGGTCAGCCTGAACAGGTGTGTTTTAAGTGCGCTTTGGAAGTGCGAGAGTAATTTTTTCGGAAGTCAGGGGGTAGGGTGTTCAATGCTAATTTTTTTCCCCAGACATTCATGTTTTATTCTTGTTTTAGGCTTTACAACAAGGATGCCGTCATTGAATACCTCTTGGACAAGTCTGCGGAGCGACCAAACTCTGAGGCAGTTACACACATCCGAGGCACAAGGGTAACTCCTACACTTGTTTCACGTTCAGAATAAATCACATGTGCTTTTATGTGTAGTATCCGTAGTTCTATGAATTGTTCAGGTATCATAATATTACCTAAACATTGAAAAGAAAAACAATATTTGAAATAAAATATCAAGAAAAAGCAATGTTATCTAAAAACTAAAATGAAGTGAGACAGTAAATGTTGTGGTTTGTTGACATCACAGTTAAAGAAAGGAGAGAGACCAGAGAGAGACCAGAGAGAGACCAGAGAGAGACCAGAGAGAGACCAGAGAGAGACCAGAGAGAGACCAGAGAGAGACCAGGGAGAGCAACCAGAGTGAGAGACCAGAGAGAGACCAGAGAGAGATCAGGGAGAGACCAGAGTGAGAGACCAGAGTGAGAGACCAGAGTGAGAGACCAGAGTGAGAGACCAGAGTGAGAGACCAGAGTGAGAGACCAGAGTGAGAGACCAGAGTGAGAGACCAGAGTGAGAGACCAGACTGAGTCCAGGGAGAGTCGTGAGCTGCCTCTTCTGTAGTTTCTTGAACCAAGCTCTTAGAATAACGAATGACTCTTCTGGCCCCTGGAAAAGCCATGTTCCAGCTTCTTCCTGTTCGTTGAGATGCAGGATATCTGGTTTTGCTAACAGCTTCTTTCAGCTGCTATCAGTTTAAACAAAGCACTATTATAATCTTGCTCTTGTATTAAAAGTGTTTTAGCTTGATTGACAGTAATAATTGTTTGTTTTATTCCTGTACTTTTAATACTTTTAATCTTGTTTAATCTCTGCACTTTTCTAGTGCACACTGGGGACTATTCCAATGTGTTTTACTGCAAATGACAAATCAAATGAATCTGAAACCATCCTCACCATGTTTTTGTCCCTTTTTCAGGACATTAAAGAGCTGAACCTGACTGATAATCCAGAGTGGGAAGGCGAGAGGAGAAACACAAAGGGGGACAAGTATGAGGACATTCACTGCGGCATGTTCATTTGCCCCGTGGTCGGACTGGAGATGAACGGCAAACACAGGTAGTACATGGAATACCCCCTCTTAAGTCTATCTGTCTTACTAATAATCAAGAGTCATGTGTGTTGTTTTTTGTGCTATATTGTTTAGATTCTGCTACCTTCAGACTTGTGGATGTGTGTTTTCTGACCGCGCGCTCAAAGAAGTCAAGACGGAGATTTGCCACAAGGTGAGGGAAAAAAACTATCCTCTCTTTGATGAATTTTGGACATTTGTTCTGTTTTATTATATATACTGTATATAAGTGCTGGTTTAGCATGGTGTTATGTGTGGACAAACAACTGCACAATGTTCTGTTATATTACAAGTGTAGGTTAAGCATGGACAACTGCCCAACGTCTGAGGGACGAAAGACAGCGTTAACACAACAGGAGGCACATTGTGTAGTTTGTACACATCAGACTCGCACATGAACAATACGTAACTTTCTTCACTCACAAACCGTAATGAGAATGAGGCAGAATCTGCAACACAGTCTCAGGATGTTCTGACCCGATCCGAGTCCAACGACTATGTCACAAGTTTCAACAAAACTTATTCAGGGACAAGCCTCAAATAAAACACACAAAATCCCCACAAAACAATTTCCAGAATACTTTATCAGCAGCGTGAGTGAATGTTCTGTTTTCTTACCGTGATGGTATGACGCCTGGTGAAAGCTATTAATCTGAGCTTTTAGCCGCAGTTCTGTCGCGGCTGTGTCCAGGCAATGTCCTCCTGCTTCTCGGACCATTGTGGTTTTAAGCTCCCACAGATTTCCCTTTCCTCCATCCGTGTCTTATGTTCTCACCGCGTTTGTAGAACTGTATATTATAATAGACCCATTGTAAACACCAGAGCCTCTGCAACGTGTGCCGCGTCACAACGCGGACTTGTCCTACATGTCCACCTCTGCGCATGTACTTCAAGGCACATCCGGTAGTTTATCAAACTAAAGGATTTTTTCCTTGGTGGTCCGGTGAATTTCCGGGTGTTGGGGACCACTGTCAAACACGACATACCTCGGAGGCTTCCGTAGTGTAGGTAGTAGAAGTAGACACGCAATATATGATCTCAACGCTAGATGGCAGTAAAAATTGCACAGTGTACCTTTAAACACTGAGTTGTTCACGCCTGTATTGGTTTCGAATCCTGGTCGGAACAGGGCCTTTCTGAGTGGAGTTTGCATGTTCTCCCCGTGTCTGCGTAGGTTTCCTCCGGGTGCTCTGGTTTCCCTTACCACTAAAAACATGTACAATAGGTCTGGTATGCGCCTCCTGTATGGCGACCTCACTCCCTTCTCTGTGTGGAGTGAGAGACAAATGCCCAAAAGTAACAATTGTAAAGCGCTTTGTGACTCTGGTCTGAGAAAGGCGTCATATAAATAAAGATTACTTACTTATTAACAGCGCTCAGTCGTTTTGAATGTAACAACTAGTGGACGTGATGTGTTACATCCACATCGCCCAGTTTGTCTGCAGTTATTGAATCATATGTTTTTTGCATAATGTGATCTACTGTATAATTAGAGCTCGGTTATAGTTTTATCCCCAACCATTATCCATGAAATGGGCTTCTTATAATTATTCTATTCACAAAGCCTCCAACATGACATGTTCAAACTAATGTAACAAGTATGTCCCCAAAAGTTCATTTCCATTTTTCTTGACATGGTTTTGAGCCCATCTGAGATTATATAAAGATATTGTATAAACTGTACTGTAAGAATTATGAGGTACTAACATTATTGGTTTATACATTGAACAGTTTAGTGCGAAGTGAGCGTACTACCAATAGTTGTAATGTGCATTCTTTATTGTTTTTTTATTGTTGGAACAATGTGTATTTCCCAACACATTTTCTGACCACCATATGTCCAAATCCATCTTCTTGTTAAGTTCTAAACTTCCACGAACTTGCTCCCCTTCACTTCCTTTTTTGCTTTTGAGCTATGTTGTACTTTTTCATGTTGTAAATAACCTTCTCCCTTATGGAAATGACCTCTACCACTGCCATCGAGTTACATATACATACTTATGTATAATGCTGTTTACACTTCAACTTTTATACTTTTAATGCAGTGTATCATTCGCATAACAAGATTCATGACACCATTATTGTACATCTTTAAACATAAAACCTTTGAAATACATTCAATAACATTAACTTATAGTTAATAAGTTCAGTGGTTCTTAAACCTAAGAAAAGGTTAAAAAAAACAGTTTGTTAGGACTCCCCTGAAAAAGAAATGGTTCATCTCAAAGGTCTATCCATAAGAATAAATAAATAAATGTGTAATATTAATAAGCCATTTAATTGCATTGCACTTTCTTTTCTTTAAACAGTGTCAAACGGAATCCATTGTCCTTGCTGCATTTTTCTTCATCTTTTTAAAAATATGAACTTAAAAAAGTGGACTTCTATCTGACTTGGTAGTAGCACTTTCAAAAGTCGGTGCTGTTGCTGTGTGGTATTGCGAGCAGCCATGTTGGATCTATGGCCACAGTTGCCTGTTTGAGCACTTTGATTCGGTGCCATAGCTCCAGACAGTCCACAGCTTCTGGATAAGTGCCAATCTGAAATTTATTGGCAAACATGGCAAATTTTTCAAAAATCCATGGCAGGTCATTGATCCCGTACACGCAGATGTCTCGAACATAATGGCCTGAAATACAAGAAATAAGAGAATAACAACCACAGTCGTTTTTCAGTAAGTAGTTAAATTGTTTATGGTTAGTTAACCCTTGGTTGAATGTAAAGGGTAAAAACTGTCAAAAATAATAATTCAATTTCAAAGATAGTATTTGTTTTTTTAAGGATGGTACCCAAAATATAAAATTTTTTTTAAAATTTTTTTTAGAATAACGACAAAAACAAAAAAACATCAGTGAATGTTTTTTTTTTTACCTTTACACCCATCATGTGCCATTCCCTCCTGATCAGCCCACTTAATGGCTCTAATACTTCCTTCCCACTCTCCAGTCAGATAGCTACCCGGAGCTTCTGAAAAACAGAAAACAGAGGAACAATGTTTTAAAGCTGTTCGAAAAGTGACAATTACCTCTGTCCTACCTTTCTTTTTTTACATAAACATATTCAATTAATCTTCATCTTCACTTAATCTCCATAAAAACAATGAATGTACCTTGGATATGGTTGAGTGTGACCCAGAAGTGCTCATCTGGACTGAATGTATCCCGGGACCACACCAGCAGGTCCTGAGCCACACGACTCGTCAGGGCGAACTCTACAAACTCCCTTGTGAGCGCATAGTAGGCCGTCCCAAAGTACATCTCTAATCTATGAGGTGGAGGTTCCTTGGCCCTCCCCGAACTCCTCAACCAGCTCCCATCCACCTCTATGTGCTGCATCCTTGTCCGAAAACTAAACTTTTTTGGTTGCTTGATGCCCGGAGTTATGTTTTTATCTTTCCACTGTTCGCTCTGCAAGTAGCGGACCAGCTCCAGGTTGCTCATCACGGGGAAGTCCTGTCCGCATAGATTCAATACTTTCCTCCAACGGATTTTGGATGGCACAAGCTCCTCCATACAATTTAAGTCCGCCTGCAGACGAGAGTATCCGGCGTAGACCACATACTCGCTCCGCCTAGCCACGAAAACGTTATCGAAGCAGCTCGCCAGTTTACGGACGAAGGCTTTGTAGTCCAGGGGAGCTTTGGCGTCCACGTGAATGCAGTAGACATTTTGCGGCATGTATATGGCTCTCAGTAAACGCATAAAGAGCTCCGGTTCTTTGTGGATGGTCAGAATGAAGGCTAAAGGGTAGTCCTCCTCCTCTTTGCTTAGAGGGGCGGTGATGAAACTGAGGTCTGAGATGAGATTCTGGCAGTTCAGGGTGCTGTTTGTGATGTATTGGTCCACCTGAGACGAAAGATTTGCATTAATAATCATGACATTTACATTCTCATTTACTCAATTACATTTATCTGTATACAGCCCTTTAATCACAATAGTATTTATCTCGGAGGACTTTTAGCAAAACCGTTAAATTCGCCAACACCGTTCCAACACAAGAAATGCAATCATAAAAAACACAATGATGAAAAAACTCATATAGAGCAGATGACCAGTGTCCATAAATGTTGATTCGGTTTTTGTTTGGGGGGGGGCACATTTTGAGCATGGAAATGAGCAGTCATCACAAGTTTAATACATTTTTCCCCACCTGGCAGTTCTGTCGGTGCCACCTGAGTCCGCTGTTGTAGCCGAGCAGAAAGGGCTTACACTGGGGGGCGAAGGGTCTGCACTCGGCCCTGAGCTCGGGTTTGGGCTCGGGCTCCGTTGGCTTGTCAGCGCTCAGATAAATCAGGGAACACACCATAACACTTACGGCCAGGCAAACCACAAAGATGCATTTGGTCGGATCCAGGTGGCACATAATAGCCTGTCTTCACCACCGCAGCCAACAAAAGTGCTGTGGAACGGATCAGAAATACAATTAGGTTGACAAATGTGGGTTAGCAAATATTAAGAGAGCCATTCTGGATATAATCTGCTATATTTAGTCCACTTTTAATAACTTGATCAAACTGGTTCATGGCTCGAATCTACATCTGGGACTTAGAGCTCAAACCCCTCCGCACTGCTCTGGATGACATTTTGCTCATGACTTGTAGATTCTGTATTCTTCATTTGACCCTGTAAGTGCAGTTGCAGTCCAGTATTTATATTTTGGTGTGTTATATGTCACAACACTACCAAATCAGGTACTGCCAATTACAGGTAGTAGTGTTTAATGAGCTGCCTCTTAATGCAGCAAAACTAACTCAAGCTTGGTTTTTCAAAATGAACAATTATTTCAGACTAGCGGATCCAGGTTTTTCTTTTTTGAAGTACAGTTTAACACTTTGGGTTTAATGCCACTCAGTTACATCTGGGCTAACAAACTATTACCACAACATACTGATATTGTTACTATTGTTTATTCTACTCGTATTCTCTGCTGCTAAAGTATAATATACACATCTGTAAATACTTCTGAACCAAAAACTATAGCTCCAGAGATTATTTTGTTTAATTTTATTCTATTTTACCATCTTTTTATCTTATGTTTTTTAATTATATTGTCTATGTGTGCAATCTGTGTGCTCTTCTTTCTTTCTTTTTCTCTGCTGTAATGTGCGCACAACGATGACACTGAAATATCCCCTCTGTGGGACGAATTAAGGAA